TCCTGGAACTAGCTCTTGTAGACCAGGCTGGTCTCGAACTCACAGAGATCTGCCTGCCTCTGCCTCCGGAGTGATGGGATTAAAGGCATGTGCCACCACCACCAGCTAAACCATGTTAATTGATCTAGTTATCTACTTTATTAGAGGAGCCCATGTGTTTTTAAAGTCAAAACTGTCATACTGTGCTAGGGGTGCAGGAGGGCTTTGTCTTAGTTTTAATAACCAGAGGATCAATAATGACAAGGCTGAGGCAGTTACTGTATGAATGGCAGTTAAAGAAACTCCAGAGGAAGGCGTCAGCCTGAGCTTTCGAACCCCCAACAACAGACAGTCTCATCCCAGTTCCAAACTCATTGTCTGGATTAAACAGAGCTCTCTTCCCAAGGGAAAGCAGGCAGTATAAACTCAGGGTGCATTTTGCTGATAAGATACTTGGTATTCAGACCTTGCCACTCTTAGCACAACAGGAGCCTTGCGGAAAAGGAACACTGGGATCCACTCTGCGTCATTATGGTTGTGTCTGTCCGTGTCCACTAGCCCCTCCCCCCCAAGCCCAGGACCAGAGCTCAGGCCAAGGACACTGGGGAACTGGATGCCTATCAGCGGTTATCCTTTTGGAGCCTGAGAGGATTTGCTGAGAAGCACAGACACCCAAACAGAATAGCTCAGAAAGGTCATTTGAAGGAGATCTTTTCTAGCAGTGGTTCCCTCTCCTGCCTTGTTGGCTCAAGAGAAGAGCAGCCAGGCTTGGGGCAGCCTGCAGCCTGGACTTCTCTCGGTAGCTACAGTCACCCCAGTGGACGGGGACAAGTGACCCTGGCAGCAAAGAAACCCTAGAGAGATCTCTGAGGCTGGGGAGCATGTCAACGCATCTGTGAGGAGACTGCACTGTCCTTAGAGACACTGCTCTTGACTGAAGAGCCTCCACCTTTCCCTTCAGTTTGCCATAGCCTGATTTTCTCTCTCCATGCTGTAGCATTTTGCTCTGACACTCCTGAGCCACAAAACTAGAGTGACCCTATATATCAGTTTTACACTAGTGTGGTGCTCTGTAACCTTAGCTGTGTGATATTGTACAAGTCACTTAACATCTCTGTTTTAGCTGTCACATTCACCTTCTTGGAAAAGGGGCATGAGCATCCAGTCAAGTCTTAATTTCGGAAGTCCTAGAGAATGAACAGCTGGTGGTGGCCAGAGCTCTATAAAGGTTGGCTACGGGGACAAATGAAGGATTTCTCCAACTGCACTGGCTCCTGGATTTGCACCTCAGGAAAACACATTCGCCTCTGCAAACACAGGACAAAGACAGGAAGATAGTTCTGGAATTCCTTTATTCTGCTCAAAGTTCTCAAGATATCAGGAGATTGGGTGGTCTGTGTGCACACTCTTTTAATTACAAACCTCTGTGCTGACTTGGTTAAAAGGAATGGGCAAGAATTACATCTCGCTTTGAGCACCCCGACTTCGGAAACTCGTGGATAAAAACCTAAGTAACTCTATCTTGGTTCCAGTTCTTTCCAGTGGCCGATTGTTGCCCAGTGAAGCTTCGCAGGGCTTTTGTTTGTTTTCTTGGTTACAGCAGAGAATAATGCAAGAGCCTCCAGATTGTCTCACGTGGAGATGATAGATGGATGCCAAATTCACTCTGCAGAGGCCTCACTTTGGCTTCTCTCAGCTGCTCAGAAAGTAATTTCATGCACACTGCAGACAGTCCATTAGCTCTTGGCAAGGAAAATTAAGTTTTCAAAGTTGCTCTCTCTAACAAGCCCCCCCTCTCTGTCTCTCTGTCTCTCTGTCTCTCT